TAATCATCAAGCTTTAATATTTTTAATCGCTTAAATTTTTCCGTTAACAGATATCTTGAAAAATAATGAATAACGTGCACATCGTTATATATATTAACATTGTTCGCGCGATATCTTCAAATTATAAGATTTATCGATAATCCGTCCTTTCAAATTTTCCGTCATGCAATTACTGTCACTCACAGATGAGCCATTTCATCAAAATCATTGTCATATTAATGCAATAAACAAAAAACTCTTTGTAATCTTATTCTGTCATGACTCTTTACGGATTATTTACACAAATAATAATACATAGTGCAACTTATTCATATAATAATTCACATAAATAACAATTGTGCATACATAAATATTCTTTAATTAACATTCTAAATATTTTTTTATGTACATCATAGACATAGAAAATTCACAAATATTTTTATAATTATAGATACGAATATACGATTCACTTATTCTTTTGTCTACTTCTAAAAAAAAAAAAAATCTGGCCAACCAGGTCAAGTAAAAAAAAAAAGAGAAAATAAGATACTTTCTGTTAATCAATTCTACTTCGTATCGATCCCGTTCTACGTGATATTAAAACCATCATTATCGCAATCGTAAAAAAAAATATCTTGAAATCTGCATCTTTTCGTGCGGAGCGTCATTCCATCGCGAGACGACTAAGCACGTGACAGCGAGAAGTTGTCCGCGAGAAATCTGCGAGGTAAACCCCCGTGACAGTGTCGTGAAGGTGACATACGGGCGCGCACACGCGGCGTTGCCGCTCTCGCTTCGCTCGCTCGCTCGCTCGCAGAGAACAGTGCGAAGCGGGTTCATTGTCCCGCGTGCGCCCCGTGGTAGAACGCCGTTTCCTCCCTCGGGCCGCCGTAATGTCGGCCCCATCAGTGGCGGCGGCAGCACGTTTTCTCTCTCTTTCTACCATATCGTTTCTCTACATCTCGTTCGTTCGTCTCTTTCTCGCGCACGCATACACACGCGCATACACACGTACACATCATACATACACATTCGGGGAGATGACAGCGTCGCTGTGCGTCGCCCCGTCGCGCCAGAGTACATTTAGCGATACTTACCAGTTGTCTAGCTTGATCAGCTCCTCGGGCTTTTTCGACTTGTGATCAGCCTTGAGGCGCAATGCCTGCGGATAAAGTTTGAGAACGTGTTCGAATTGCGTCGCGGTGCCCTCCGCGAAGAAAGTCGCTGTGTCTTTCACGGAAGCCATTGCGATAACGCGGGCTTCGATCGACGGCCGTCGGGGCGCAGCACCAGCGCCGCCTGCTGCCGCTGTTCTGTAAAGCACCGCGTCGTCCGCCGCCGTTGGCTGTTACCACCGGTGTCGCCGCCGCTGCTGCCCCACGGGCGGCGTTGCCGTATCTCTCTCGCCTGCTCTTTGCCGAGGAATCCTACTTCACCCTCGTGAATTCCCTCACCAGTGCGGCGCGAGTAAGCGCGTCGCGTGGGAAATCGATGATGGTGGTGGGAGAGCACGTATCGAGAGCGACGTTACACGACGGTCTCTCTCAATTCCGAAGCGAGAAAGCGGAAAGATCCACGAGAACGTACGTGCACGGTACGTGTAGAGAATCAACGAAGTGAGAATGGAAAAATAAAAAGAAAACGCACACGGACACTTCCCTTTTTTTTTCTATTTTTTTTTAGAGGGAATCGACTCAGCTCCCGTTTCCTTCTTTCTCTCCCTCTTCCCCTCACGCACGTCCGGTGAGAGTACGGCGGACGTACTCGAGTGTGCAAGACGAAATCCTCTCACAACACCGTGCGACGTCTCGAGAGAAAATCACACTGCCATAAGAACTCTCTGTCGAACCTCGCTCGACACTGGCCCGGGTGGGGAGCCGACGCGACGTTGCCAATAGGCGGCAGCACCGCTCGGGTTGCGCCTCTATCCCCCCTTCTATTACAATTGCACCTCTCTCCCACCAGAGAGTATCGGCAGTCTCCGTCTTTCTTTCTTTCTCTCTCTTCTCTCTCTCTCGCGCGCGCGCGCCTGCCGAGTCTCCGTGTGCACTCTCCCCTCGCGCCTCACACACTTACCACCGGGAATATGTCTGTCACGCTTTCCCTGTCGAGTCGCTCATCCGTCTCTCTCACTCCGCCCGACGACCCCGTCTCGTCCTCTTTCTCTCCGATTCGGTCCCACGGAGAGTCCGTATCTCTCCCACTCGATCGCCGTTTCTCTGTCTTCCTTCCACGCGCCTGTCCGTGTCCTTTTCCTTGCTACCACAGTATCCTTGTCTATCGCCTTTGATCGCCCCTATATATCTCTTGTGCGTCTACCTCTCTTTTTTTCTCTCTCACTTCCTCTCCCTTTCTTGTTGAAGAGGTCTCTCTCGCTCGCGCTCACGAACCGCGAAATTCGGTCGAACACACGCGACGACGTGCCTTCGACACCTTGTGCAGTGTGTCGGAGGGGAGCGTGAGGAGATTCTACGGAGAGGCTCCTTTCTCTACGAACTGACGCGGCGCACCTCTCTTTCTCCTTCTCACGCACACAGGCACGCACTCGCTCCCTGTCCTTCTGCTTGACAATAAGCGTATCAACGTGACTCTGAGTCCGTTTGTCGCGTGCGTTTGCTCTCGCGTTACGGATGCAGAGTGATTCCGTGCTGGTACTCGCAGAAGAGATGGACACGCGCGATGGTGTACGCCTGTCTGTACGCACAGAAAACAGCGACGCGAAATCGCACGTTTCTTGCGCAGCGCGTTATAATACAATATTTCCGTCCGCTCCGTATATTATAAGCTATGCGCTCGTTCAATTTTGTACAACCAACGTCGCCCGACAGGCGTGTTTCCACGTAAGCGACTGAGGTTACGTTGCGCGACGATCGCCTCATCGACGGCGAAGCCACGGAAAGCGGCGATTGGTCGAGCGCGGTCTCACTCTCAGACTATCTCTCTCTCTCCCCCTCCCATCCTCCTCTTTCGCTCTCTCTCTCTCTCTCTCCCCACCCTTTCCTGTGGTCTCGCTCACTCTCTCGCTTGTTCACTGATCGCGTCCGGCGCGTTCAATGCGTCGATATCCTTGTTTCTTCATCAGAGAATATTACGCGACCGTCGGTGAGAATCACCGATATATCTATCGAGCTTGTTTTATCCTCAACAAAAATCGCTCAGCTCCGCGTTAACGAAGATGCATGCGGGCGGGCAGACGTGTTGTACGTGCTGTTGTGCACGCGAGCGCGCGCACGTCAGCAAAACGAGTCTCAGGAAAACGAGAACACGCGGAGGAGACTCACATAGCCAATCAGCCTACCCAATCGTTCGCCTCGTGTACGCGTATGTGTGATTATAGTAAGCCGACCGACCGACTGAGGGCAGTACCTTCGTTCGGCGCCTTGATTGGCACCCCGCCAGACTCTCTCCCCGTCCTCGATGACCGTTCCTGACAAGCAATGAGCGAGCGAGTGAGTGAGCGAATGAGCAAACACAAACGAGAGAAGAAGAGGGCGCTTTTCCCCTCGTGTTCGTGCGTCCGGACGCCACATCCACCGTCAGCTGCGCATTGCGTTCCCCACTACGGCGCCGTGTTGGAGGATCAGCGGAGACGCGGTGTCCAGGGATGGATAAAACGACTCCGAGTCGTTCCATCGTTGTTGTTTGGAGATGTAAAAAGCACAAGTAGAAATTTCCACGCGCCGAGATATTCGCCTTTCGCAACAATATAGATTTTACAGAACTAATAATGACATAGTGATATAATTAGCCTCGTTCTATCGCGTGTATCTGATTAACTTCAAAATTACTTCATTATTGTGTAAGGTCATAAGTACACACACAAGCAGCCGCTTGAGGCATTAAACCGAGAGGGAAGACGCTCGAGTTTATTTTAAAGTTTATACGCATATTATATATGTAAAGTTTTTAAATACAAACGTATATACTTCCTCTTTGTCGTTGCTATTTTTATTTTTCTTTTTTGCTTTTTTCTTACGTACAACACTGATAATTAACGATAATAAACGAAATAAGGCTAAGCTTTTTAAAAAAATTCAATATAATTGTTACAGCTGTAAATATTCAAGTTAAAGTTAAAGTTATATTATGCAGCTGTCTCTACAGGGACGCATGTATACTTTGTAAACGGATGTCCCGCGACGAAACGCTCAACTGTTTCTGGCAGCCGCTTCAGACCGATTCTCGAAGGGTGAAACTTACGCAGCTGCGTTCAGGCGATATGCCGGTGTGCGCATTTGCCAAATTTCGCCATCGTGTCTGTTTATAAGATAAATACGTAAGCTGCTGATGGGTCATGTTCTTTTAGGACATCCAGTAGAGCGTGTCGGGCGGTAATTTATCAAAACTCAAGTGCACACTAAGTTGTTTAAATTCAAAAATGTAGTAACATAATATAAAGAAAAAAAAAGCGACAACTTTGAGAATAATTTTTGTTCTTCCGTGAAGAAATCGCGAAAGGTCAAAGATACAACACATAATCTCGAAAGGTCAAAGATACAAAAGAATTTTTAATAAAAAGATCCGATAATTTTATAAAAAATAATTTTAGTTGCGAAATGAAGACATTTTAACAAAATTTTCTAATAAAATTTTTTAATTAAAATTTCAGATAATTTTAAAAAACTAGAAAAAATGATTTATATAATTTTTGCCTTGCGTGAAACATTGGCAGAATAATCGTGCGAAAATCTTTGTTAAAACAACAAACCTTAGAGCTTCTTAAATAAATTTCATCAATTTTTTTCAAAATTTAGCAAAATAAATTGTTTGAATATTTTCTCTAAAAAAAAGGTTCAGGCCTCGATTTCTGGTACGTTCATAAATCTTATAGAGGGACTCACTTTCTTATGAGTAATACAAATAAAGTTCAGCAGGGAAAAGAGCGATAAAGATGAAGGGAACATGAGATTTTCCCAGGAGCGTCTTCCTGCATTTTGACACTCCACTTTCTGCTATTTCCTGCTCTTTCTGAAATAACGTCAGCCTTCGTGCGTTCCTAAATTTAAGCTGTTTCGACTGCTGGAGATTCGATGGCCCTTAAAACTGCAATAATGCCTTTTCCTTTCTGCCCGCCAGACGGAGCTTCGTCAAGCGGAGTGGAACGGAGCGGAGCAAAGAGAAGCGATTGTGTGGAGAATATAGGCACAGGCATGCAGACCAGACAGATAGGCAAGCAGGCAGGCAGGCAGGCAGGCAGGCAGGCAGGCAGGCAGGCAGGCAGGCAGGCAAGCAAGCAAACAGCAGGCAGGCAGGC